ATCGAAAGCTGGTCAAGAGGAATCCGCCGTCGTCTTCTGGTGGAACCGACCTTCCAATCTCTTCACCCAATACTCAATTTTGCCATAAATCAGAATCTAATCCCAACTATAACCCTAAAGCTAGGCCTAAACCAAAGTGTACGCCGAAGAATGGTGCAAATACGAAACAAAAATATAAGCATAAAGTTGATTTCGACTCGCATTAACCCCAAACCTGAACATTAGCATCACCTTAAACCCTGCATTCAACCCGGCTCTAACCTTAATTCACAATCTACCAAACCTTAACCTCAACCCTAAGATTAAACATGACTTCGAATCCATGCTAAAATCGAAATTAAATGCAAGCTCAAAAATTAACCCCAAAATAAAATAGCTAAATCCATCGGAAATACCAACTCGAAATCGAACCCTAAGACTAAGCGCAAACCTCAACCCAACTGCAAACCTAACATTAGTCCTGGTATAATTCATAATGCGAAATCTAAGTTTACCTCTAAACTAAATGACTACCCTAATCCCACAAATACGAGTAACCTTTAATCTAACATAAACGAGGAAATAAACCTTAAAATTGGGAAATTCGATTGTCCCCCCGAGCTTAAACAGAAAATTAGCACCAACCCTGTCTTTGGGCCGAAATTAAGACCTAAATTTAGGCCCAACCCACGAATTAAACGTGAATCTAAACCAAAGCCTGAATGCAACTGAGATTGAGAGACGCAGTTTCCATTTCACTGCCTCATTACACTCGGCGGGACTCGAACCAACGACCTCTGGACTACTCGAACATTGTTGCCAAGTCGTCTGCTTCCAACGGACAATTTGTGCGCTGACTTTAGCCCCGTTTTACGCCGATCCGGTTGCCAGTCCACGCGCCGGTTACTCAATTTTCCTACTAACCCGTAGAGATGGCGTTTGGAATTATCTTTTTATCCGATGCTGACGCTAAGCAACAGCCGTTAAATATAAGTTGTGCAGACAAGTGTAATATGTCGCCGAATGGCGCAAGTTGTCGTCGCTTTTGTGAATCGTCCATGCATAGTTGAGTGAAGGCCTGTGGGCAAGTGAGGGCCCGTGCCAAACCAAATCACAGCCAAGCCCACTTTGTAACTCATTCGATTGTATAACCTTACTTACACCTGTTCTAAAGCACAAACACACACACACACACAATCATACACAATCATACATACAGACTGGTATTACTTGTGTCATCTCGCCTAGCCGCATTGAAGCCAGAGAAAGAGCTCGGAAATTTCGTCTCACCTTCTCCGCCGGCCTGTCCTGCTGGGCTGGCGTCAAATCACAGTCCACTTGCTTCCCTCTGCACACTCAACTCCAACTCGTGTGGATGTCCATCTGCCTGTTGTGGGATTCCGCGAGGTTTTGGCCTCCGTAAAGAGCGGTAACACGAACAGATGCATATTGGCCATCCTCTATCGTCGGTCAGACGTCCAGGCCGGTTTTATTGCGTCCGTACGTGTCTGCATAACTTTGATCTCGTATGTGGTACCGATGTGGCGCACACCCTATTTCACCTGCTGGAGGTGTGGAGACGAATACCAACAATACCCACTTTTGCCGGTCGGATGCAGAACGAATCACAATACGGCGAGCCTCGAATTCCCTCTGAGCAAAACCCCCTTTGCTTGTATACCTATCGTGTGTGTGTTTGTGTGTATGTGTGTGTGTTTGTAATACTTGAGTTTGCACCTGGCGCTTTTTTGTTGAGATGGCCAGAAGTCCCATTACTGCCCTCATGCTGATTTTAACGGGCCTTTCACTCTCTCACGTTGGCTTGACTCTTTATAGTCTCTCTCTCACTTTCACATGCACACACACACACACATACATATATATATATATATACACAAATATACAATCATGCGCAAACCAACCAGAAACACATGCTCTAGACACGCAGGCAAGGACGGAAATAAACACATGCTAGAGAAACACAAATTCACACACACACACACACACATACACACACACACATGCGCGCAAATACATGAATACGCATGTTCAAACAGGCGGCTTAGTCACACGCTCTCTCGGCTGTCGCTTGAAATAACACAGATTGTAGGGAGAGAGAGCGAGAGCTTGTGTGTTTGCGTTGCGTCGTGTTACCGAGCCTATCGGGAGCCGAGCGAGAGTCGGGGTGTGGACTTTTCGCGTTCCCACGTGGCCGCAGCGTCAAGCCCCGACGGCCGACTCCGACGCGCCGTGAGCGGACTCGGACCTGCGGCGCAAAGCGACCCATTAACCACCGGGTCTCGAAGAAAAGGGGTCTGCCAAGCCGATCGTCCCCCACCTTTGGCCTACCTCCTTCGCTGCGGCCTTGTATGTGTGTGTGTGTGTTTCAAGGTAGAGAAACGGTTTTATTTGGTCTCGGGGTCAGACGAGGGGGTACAGGCAGAAATCGCGATCCCGCTTGGTGGACCAACAGAGGCATGGCGATTTGGGGTGCCCTTTTTCGGGCAGAATTGAGCCGGCGGCAGCTGAAATAACACAAAACCAAAGTCTGCAAAGCCTCTCTCGAAGGTCGTTGGTCGGGGCCGTCCACGTCTGCGCGATGAGAAGTGAAGGAAGACGTCGACAGACGAACGAGAAGGAGAGATTGAGAGGGAGAGGGAGAGGGAGAGGGGGAGAGAGGAGACAACAAGCCTAATAAGGGATCAAGACTGTGGCAGAGTGGGATTCCAGTCGGTACATCCGTACGGTTCGAGTCGGCCTGGCGTGTGGCTGTAGGACGCGACTTCTTATAACGCGTGTGAGATCGCGGGTCAAAGGTTTGCTGATGGCAAAAAGTCCCGTACCGAGGCCTTCGTGAAGGCAGTTTTTCATGCAACTCTGCTTCCGGAGAGTTTGACGCTAAAAAGCAGTACGTCAGCACGCAACTTTGCACGGCTTCCTTCGTATGAAGTATTCTTTACTTTGTTTTAAATTCACATGATTAGTCACTTATTTGTGTGTGCATGTATGTGTGCATATTGCCACGCCATTCTAATAACTCCATGTGGTATTGAGAAATAGATGTACTCTTTTGTTTCAAACGCCAAATTGCAGACATTTTTGTGTCACTACTTAAATGTGTAGAAAAGAAGTAATACTGATGCAAACGCAGATATTATGAAAGATATCGACCGACACACGCATCTGCACGCAAAAAAACATAATTTTGCGCATACAGTCATGCTGTATGATTTGACAAGAAGTGTGTTGACATGCGCGGAGATCGACACGTACGCTCGAAATCTATTCATTCATCGCATGAAAATGTGAAATTACCGACATTTATTTGGTTACTACTTGGACCATGCAAAAGAAGTAGCATAAGTGCTTCGTCAAGAATGAAGCATTTCTCCAGAGTTGATCTAGGATTTTACAAAAGGTGTGTATGTCTCAGTTTAGTCACTTTACTTCTCTACCGAAAAAATTCCATATGAAATTGAGGCGTCACTTTTTCGATTGACTCTTGTGCGAATTGATGTCTGTCTGTCAAATCCGAACTGCATGTATTTTAATCGTTCACTCACGACAGTTCTTCATGCATCACAAGGCAATGTCGAATGACCGGCACTTTTGTGATTTCCAAGGCGTGGTGTGTGCTCATTTCCTAATAATACTACCGAAAACCGACCCCAACAAGTGACAATTAGGCTTCGTCGAGAGTGAATAAGTTGTCCGTGGTCACATACGCCTAATTGCGTACAGGTGCGCATAGATATTGTGAAACACATCAACCAGCAGGCGTACATGCACACACGCAAATGTGATGTTGGACATGAAGTCATAAGTCATGCTTTGACAAGAGTCGCGCCGAGTCTGGTCCTCAAAGCATGCTTGACAAAAGTGGAATCTCCGGCTCCGTGATTCCGTCGACTGTGGCAACTTGAGGCGCTTCAGGCGCGGAAGCATGTCCTGCCTGATTTAGTCGCCGTGGCTGCGCTTGAGGCGGCCCATCTGCTGTACCAACGGCCTACTGCATGCTGGCAAAAGAATGTACAGTTGCATGAATTGAATGTCATTTGACAGGACTTGAAGGCCAGACTTTGGCCGGGCCAAGTGTGAAATCAAAGTCCCGGAGACCAAAAAAGCCCAAGGCTCTGGCCTCCCGCATGTACACATGACAATGGGCTGCCATACTTGGCCGGGGTTGCCAGAGCCAACTAGCTTGGCCTGACTTGACTCAACTGTTACCGTTGGCCACAACTTGCGTGTCTGATTTCTCTTTGCTTGTGCTTCGCGCCGTGACAAAGCGAGCAGATGCTGCGCAAGACCTGCTTTCCTCGGCATTCCACCAGCAACCGCCGAAATCCTCCACTCCGCGAACGATTAAAGGATAAAGCAGATGACAAGGCGAAATCAACTTGGCGCTAGGGCTATAGCAGAATAGTGTGTAGATAATTGCGGGAATATTTGCACAATTGAAATTAATAACTCTTTCAGGCTGGCCATACATACATAACACATACCTGCATGCAAACAAACAAACAAACAAACAAACAAACATACATACATACATACATACAA